TTAAATCTTTCCCATTCTTACACAAATATAGTTTAATTATTCACTATTAGGGCTGCAAAGAAATAATCTTAGAGTAAGTGTTAATAGAGATTTTGAAACTACTTTTCCAGCAGCCAAGTTTTTTGCTATTTCCAAGTAAGTGGGGTATATGGAATTGTTAGTCATTCTTTTTTTTTTTTTTTTATTTGTGTGTGTGTACAGTCAAATCAGATTTGACTGGTACAGGAGGAGTTTGTTCCTCCTTCTCCAGCAAAGCATCTGGTGGATTTGAACCGCTAACCTCTCAGACTGCAGTGCAGCTTCTTGCCACTAGGCGACCAGAGCTCGGAATTGTTAGTCATTCTTGTAAATGCTTTCTTATAACTGAAACAGTGATTATTTTACCCTATATGACTACAACCACTGACATATGAACCTGTTCATCACTGGAGCTAAAGGTGCATAATAGCATAAGTAACAACATTGTAGGTTTTCAGACACATTAAAGCAGTGACCAACTTTGATGCATACACATATGTACAAGCACCAAGAATGTCAGTCATGGAATAACTACGCTGTTTTGAAAAACAAGGAACTCATGAAATATTATGCAAAACGGATGACCCTGGAGGACATTATGCTGAGTGAAATATCTCAGTCACAAAAGAACAATTATTACATAGGACCACTGTTGTAAAACAGGACTGACAACAGGGTTGAGGGAAGACAGAAAAGGAGGGGAGGAATGAAGTATACAGCATTGAAACAGAAGAGGGAGAGAGCTGTTTAAAAGGGATATATGAATGGGTATTCCGGTCATTACAGAAGTCCAGAATGAAGGCTGCATAGTGGAGTAAACTTGGAGGGGAGGGACTGCATAACAATGAAAGAGTTTTTCTTTTCAAGAAGAAGAGTGATCTGGGGGGTTGGGGTGGGCAGGGAGAAAAATGCAACAATGAATGACTGGAAAGTCTAAATCTCTGTAAACTTTCATGAAAACTAATTTTAAAAACCCAAAAAACTAATAAATTAAAAAAAGGAATGGAAAAAAAAGGAATGCCAATCATAAAGGAGTCATTAGTTGAAAATATTTAGAACTACAATTTCTGTGAATACTAAGCAACTATTTCCTCAGAAGTAAAATTATTATCATTCCTTTGGCCTCCTACTTTGAACAAAGTACACTGGCTGAATTAAAATTCTACATACAGAAGTCTTGTTTTTATTTTCTGAATAATTTCAAGAATTCTGTTGAGTCTACTTCAGAATGAATTTGAAACTAAGTTTAACAAAGAAAATGAAAAGCTTCATCTAGAGGAGAGATGGTAAGAAAAGTGAAGTATTCACTATGGGAAATGCTTGTGAACAAGCAGAACCAAGTCAGCAAGACAAGTGAGTACATATAGAGGACTGTCTGGTTGAGAATCAGTGAAAGAGAAGGCTACTGGTCACAGATCGTGAGCCAGGCTGCAAGGTTTAGAAGACTCTCAGGTATTAACATTTTCATTTTTAAGAGCAGACAAAAACGTCCACACTCAAAAGAGTGGCTTTCCTCAAAGAGTTTCCTCACAAGACGTTAAAATAAGTTGAAATGTATTCCTAGCCCATTCTCTGAAAGATCTCTTCAAATTATAAAGGAGCCCTGGTATATAATAAAATGGCTAGAAATCTACAGTAGTAAGTGCTCACTGAACTCATAAAACAAAGACGCTCTAGTTTAAAAAAATTTTAAAGTTCTATTCAGATAATTTCTAAAATTCCACATACTCAAAAATAATGGTGATAATTAGATGCAATATAGAGAAGTTACTTTAGTGCCTTTATAAGTGCCTTAATTATTCCGAATTTTACATCTCAGTATTGCAAGAGTCACACATCTCCTAGGATTTTCAATTAACTTCATCAAAGCAACATGAATTTACATAACCAGCTACTGTTGTAGTTGTTGTTACTGTTATGTGCCGTTGTCTGGGACTCATAGTGACCCTATGTACAGCAGCTCTGAAGCTTGCCCTGTCCTGAGCTAGACTCATTGACTCTGACACACCTACCCCCATTGCTTGTTACTGTGTCAGTCCATCTCATTTGAAATATTCCTCTTCTGCGCTGTCCCTCCACCCTTCCAAGAATGATGTCCTCCTCAAAGGAACGGTCTGGCCATGTGCCCAAAGCATGTGAGACAGAGCTTCAAAATCCTAGCCTCCAAGGAGAAACGTGGTTTCTCTCTCTCCAAGACAGACAGATTTGTTTTCTTGGCGGTCTACGGTATGTTCAAGACTTTTCTCCAGCACCACAACCCAATTGCATCTATTTTTCTTCTGCCATCCTTAGTTACTGTTCAGTTATCTGATGCATAGCACCTAATTGTGAAGACCATGGCCTAGATAGAGTGCATCTTAGTCTCTAGATTTACATTATTGCTTTTCAGTACTCTGAAGAGGTCCCTGACAGCAGATTCTCCCAGTGCAATTTGTCTTTTGATTTCCTGATGCTGGAGCCATAATTGTTAACAACTTCCATCTCTTCTCCATCTTTCATGGTGCTGCCAATTGGCCTAACGGTGAGAATCATTGTCTTCTTGACAATTGGATTATACAATATAAATATGCCTGGTTAAGTCAAGTTGGAAATACTTAAGCCAACTCTGGAAACTAATAATTTAAGAACAGTCTGAAGTCTGGTACCTTCCTACATATCATAGAAGATGATTATACAATCCATAAGAAGTTAACAGTGTGGATTTAATGGTGCTTGTTGACATATCTGCACTAATTTTTATTAGCAAAAACACTACCAAAAACTCTCAACAGCAGTTCAAAGCATGTCAATAATGAATCTTTCTTCTAAACTAAACAGCCTGTCCTTGGAGAATGAGAAGCCCTTTCTAGAACAACTCTGATTATCCTGTTAAAAGCTACTGAAAGTCATCTTCATCTAATATATGACCTTTTCTTAACATCCAGAAAATATCTATAAAAATACATATAAATTCTGATTTACTATGCACACATAATTGAGTTTCTCCTTTTTTTACTCTCTCTTGTTTTTTTAGTTACAAAGAATCTTTATAAAAGCTCCTATCCTATGCACACTGTTCTTTACAAAAGTGGAATGAGCGCTCATCATACTGCTGCTTTAGTGATGACTGGTTATAGTTACTTCCTTATTTGGTCTTTCTATTCAATTGGGGCTATTAGGAAGGAGATAAATAAGCAAGGAGTTTAAGTTAACTGACCTCTATAAAGACTATCTAGCTTTATTAATACAGTACTCTGATGGACAAGTTAACAGTAGCCAAAATAAGTAGAATTCTACCAGCACTTCTACAAGCAATATAAATGTTAGATGTCTCAAGTTCACTTCTGCATACCAGAAGGACAAAGATTCTCTCAAAAGGAAAATCACCAAACCTACAGCTATTTAAGTAGATTCCAATTCAAAGTGGCTCTGCACCGGGTTTCTATGGCTGCAGATTTTAAAAGGAAACAATCCCGTTTTCTCCCCTGGAGTTGCTAATGGCTTTGAACCACCAGAGATCCACAGCTTTTTTGTTAATGGTGCAATACGCCACAGAATAAATTCTATTCAATCTTGTAGATCCTAAACACACATCGTATCTTTGGTTCCAAGAACAGGGTCTTTCTCACAAGACACGTAGGTTTTTCCATTAAAAAGAAACACGGCAATAATTTTTGCATCTAAACAAGATGCCTTCATAATGTGTTTTCTGGAGGTTCATTAAGAGAAAATGCTAATAAAAGTAAAAAAACAAAACAAAAAACCAAAACCAAAAAAAACAAAAACCAACCTAACAACCAAACCATGAAGCAAGAAGCTCCATCTTCCTTTGCACGGATAGGCTATATTTGATTCCTCTGTATTGTATTTGTAGAGTTAGGTTATTGGAAAAAAGGCATATGCAATGCGTAAGTTATTGGTCTTGCAAAATTCTATCATGTTATCTTCTATAGTCTGTCCTATCAAGACCTATTTACCAGACAATATTATCTCATGACCCAACAAGTCCACTGCTAGAGATATACACACAGTGACTCAAAAGCAGGGAATCCAAAAGAAATATGCACACTAGTGTTCATTACAACACTATTCACAACAGCCAAAAGGTAGGAATAGCTCAAGAATCCATCCAAAGATGAAGAGATAAACAAAACATTGTATATATACTCTCAATAGACTAACAGTCATAAATGGAAATGAAATTCTAATACATGCTAAAAAATGGATGAATCGTTGAGACATGCTGTGTGAAATAAGTGATATAATTAGAAAAGACAAATATGTAGTGACAAAAAACTATGAGTGTCACCAGGTACTGTAGTGAAGAGGAAATGGGAGTTATTGATTAAAGGATATTGCATTTGGGGTGATTTACACTTTTGTCAATGGATAGTGATGATGGCTGCACAATACGGTGAATGTAAGAAATGTCATTCAATTGTATACTTAAAAGTATAAAATTGTTAAAAAATGTAAAAAACCAACCAAACAAACAAAAAACGGTGAAGCGGCTCCTTTCTTCTTCTGATTGTTATTTTCCCTTTAGATTTTTCCCCCTCATCCTCCAGAATTATTGTAGCTTTTAAAGATTTCCTGAATCAGTTTAACCAAGTAAATAATTTGCTATGTTTGTCATCACTAAGAATAACTGCAATAAATAATTAAAAATACTGTTTTAAACTCAGCAAAGACGTAGGCATTACCTTAAGGCTCATAAGATATACAACTGAAATAAAATACATTTAAAATGTGGAATTTTAAAAAAACCATCTTCACTGAATCAAGATGAATGTTAGATGCTCTTAGAGGTTGAGGAGCAGAGAGTGATTTTTCAGAGAACAACAATATTAACTCAAGAGTTTTCTGGGAGAAAGACTCCTCAAAGTTATACACTGTTCTCATCTTCAATGAGGGTGGGAATCTGGAGCATGAATTTCTCTCCTTCCTAATTTATTATCTTTTTTTTTCCTTTTCCAACACTAGAATATTATATGAGAGCCTACCTGACATTTTGGAGAATTTGCTGTGCTGGGATTGATATTCCGCATTGCCTAAGAGTAAAAAATAAGACGGATAAAGATTACTTTAGCAAACATGGTTTGGCTGTGCAGGCTGACTTACAAATTGCATCTGGTCATACTGCCATAGCACAGAATTCCCAAGTTAGCCCAAGATAAAGCAGAATGAGGAAGACAGGAGCCAATGGAGTCATCATGTAACAAAACTAAAACCTCACAAGTTTTAAAGCATTGAAGGAAGGATAGCAAGCCTTTAAGTATCAGGACTAAAACACAATTTGATACTGGTCAGATTGGTTCTTTGCTTCAGAGTATTAGATGAAGCAGGAAAAATATACTTGATGTTTCAGTGATGAGAGAGGAATTGTCAATGGAAGAAGCTTAAAGGAGGTCAAAAGACCAAAGACAACCTGGAATTGACTGCTTTAAAAAAAAAAGGGGGGAGAAAAAAGCACATACACAGGAATAAATCCTAAAAAAATAGGCAAACAAAAAAAATATTAGACTATTAGTATAAGAGTAGAGCAGATCATCCACTTCAACACAAGAAAACAGCAACACAGTAGTAAAGAAGAAGCAAAGGGAGTAGTTATCTTTAAAGTGAAGCTACTCTGCCCAGGACCCATCACCCAGAGTAAAAGCAAGAGAAAGAATTCTTTGGAAGGAAGTGCTTATAAGAACAGCTTTTGGCCCATGAGAAAAATGCAACCAGGCTGATCCAAGTATACAACAAAATGACAAATGGCTCATTTCTAGACTTTAAAACATGCCTTAAAAACAACAGAACTTTGATACAAGCCATTACAGAGGCACTTTTAATTCAACATTCTTATTTTGAAAGTATTTTCTCATGTGAAATTACGACCTGAATTTACGTATAACATCTAGTTCTCTGTAAAAACAAAATAAAAAGCAAACAACAGAAACATGCTATGTCAAAGATACCCTTAAATATTTTTATATCTTGTAAAAGTCACATAATTTTATTCTTGATCGTGCTGCCTTGTTCTAGTTAAGTTTTACCAAATTAAAAAAAAATTCTTTATTGCAATTTGTTTAAAAAGTTAATTAGAGGTTCAATAAACTGGTAATATGCTTTTCTTCTCTGCCTCTTTTATGGTAGGTGAAGAAACACTTCTTTCAAGACTGCTTTCTGACATCACTGGTTGGCACACTCTTACCCTGCCAGGGTTCACTTTTGGTGCCAACCTCACTAGAATTACACTGACGCAGTACTGACAGCATAAACAGTTCTAAGGTGAGTCTGTCGAGGACTCTGTGGTTTAGTTTATTTCTTCAGGTACCAGGTCCTCGTTTTTCCACAGATGCTTCGGAGACGCTTTTAAACTATGGAGGCAGGGGAACCGAAAACCAAAACCTTCGTTTAAATGTCCACATTCTGGTACATGAAATGTAGACTATATGTTATGTAGATATTTTTCATGTTTACATTTAATACACTACCATTTAGAAGGGAAAAAATGGTATGCACACACATTCTGTTTTTAATTGATACACTTAAATCGGGAAGTTTCATAAACAGTTAATAGATGCTTAAAACCAGAGAAATAAAACAAAAAAGAGAAAAAGATTTTACTTTCACTTTATAAACTTCCATCTTATTTTAATTACTTATTTGGAAAAAATATTATATAAATATTTAATAATTATTGCATTTATACCATATTTTCATCCAAATAACATGTGCATGACGTGGTGTTTGCAGACCCTGCAAACTCCTCACATATCAGTTTAATTATATTATTTGGAAAATTATGGTAACAAGATCACATCTCCAATATCTAACTTATCAATTAACACTCTGAAACAAGAAAAACTAAAATTTAGAGATGAAGAATAATATATATGTGTATGTAATATTCATATTCTTGTATATCAAAAAGACCAATTACACTTTCTGGAAGAAAACTGCTGGAAATGGATATCAAGAGCTTCGAGCTTTCTGTTATAGTTTCTTCTCTTGCCAACACATAAAAACAATCACAAGCAGGTAATTTTAAGGTACTGTGAGATCTTTCAAATTGGGATAATAATTTATGTTTTGTTTGAAATAAAATATCTTAAAATCAGCAATACTAGAAAATATTAGACATTTGGGAAAGATCATATTAATGTTATCTCTCACATGAATTCATTCAAAGCAAAATATTATTTTCTCAATGTGACAACTTTTAAAGAAATCTTCAGAAATCCAACTATCTAATTCTAGTACATTTGAGAAAATATCTTTGCTTCCTTAAATCTTATTCAACAATGGTTAAAATACCTCTTTGGAATTTAGGTTTATAAGCTGCATCCCAGATAATAAAATCTAAAAATTAAAGCAGGAGCAGAACATGTTTCTGTGTCATTCTAATTTTAGAGAACAGCTGTGCAAGTAATAAATATGAAAATAAAATATGCCCAATTTCACATTGCAAAACAAGCCCCAAAAAGCGGAAGACTGATTTCTAACCTGTGGCCTCACCTGCCGAAGCAGTTCTTGCTGTTTCAGGCGCAGTCGCTCTTTCTCCATCTGCAGTTGCTGTAGTCGCATCTGCTGCTGCTGGTTGGAGTTGCCTCCACCCATGATTCCTCCCTGTGGGCTCTGGGGAGCCAGAGGGGGTGGCTGCTTCAGTGGAGCGCTCTGACCAATTCTCTGATTGATTGCTGAAACAAACAAAAGATCTGTCCTAAAGAACTATTTAGGAAAGATCAAAGGTGATTGCAATGATTAAAAAGTAATTATGGGATGTTCAATGTAGCTTTTATAGTAAGACTGAAAAGTCTAAAAAGAATCATTACTAGGACAATAGATAAATTTCTTACTATTTTTGTTATACAGAATGCTGAGAGAGAGAGAGAGAGAGTGTGTGTGCACACGCGTGTGTGTAGAGGAGTGATATCAAGCATATTACACTGCATAGTTTTCTTAAAAGGTTAAAGAAATTTTACATAAGCAGAGGTTAGGAACTGAAGGATATCCAAGAAGCAACTAACATTTTGTTGATTATCATACTGGGAAATAGATTGTGTTAAGACTTTCTGAAAAGATGGAATGATGTAAATATCCACTGCTTATTAAAAATAAATCTATATAAATCAAAATTACTTTGAAAAGGCAAATGAGTCAAAGCATTCTGAACATTAAGACTTATCAAAACAATCAATCCTTTAAATATTCACAGCCCCACTGCCCACAAAAAGTAAACGTATTAAAATATGATGCCTGCCCAAGAAAATCAAGTAAGTTTAAAAAAGCCTTTTGATTTGATGGTCAAGGCACTGTGACCCCAGCAGGCAGGCATTGTTTGTGCACCCGCAAGCATGTGTATGTATTTTTCACAGTTCAATCTGTAAAACACAACTATTAGAAATGGGCAGAATTATACTGGTGAAATTTTATCATTGGCTCAACACCAGACTAATTATTGTAGTAATCTAAGTAAGTAGCCAGAATTTTCCCCATTTTTTCTTTTTTCATTTCAACCTGATCCTTTTGGAATTTATCCTAGTATATAGAATGAATGGATTTAATTTTATCCTGTTCCATATGTCTATTCAATATACACAATACCACTCAGGTACAGGTTTATCTTTTCCCTACTTTCTATCACAGACTAAAACCTTCATATTTATTTTTTAACTTTTCTGTTCTGTTCATGAAGCTAATTACTTACACTAATCCCAGTTTTAATTACAGCCATTACAGCTAAAACAGTGTGCCTTTTCTTCAAAATTAACAAGCTAAGCCACCCTCCCCCTCCACAAACCTGACAAGTTCCTAGCACTGCTTCTACTCACTACCTTGTGTTTTCTGACCTATAGTTATTTTTAAAATAAATGATCCTTGTCATGTCATTTTAAATTATCTTTTGTGTTGTATCTAACAGACCAGAAAATGTCAATATGATACTCATTGAATTTTATTCTGAAAAGCCTTATTAACCTATGAACTAAGAGAACATTATTCATATAATGTCTTTACAAGGCAATTATGGTATTCTAGTAGTTTAGGATCTATGCTGGCAACCCAAAGGCAAACGGTTTGAATCCACAAGCTGCTCCACAGGGGAAAGATGGGCAATCTCCTTCCACACAATTTACAAACGGTCAGCTCTGTATGGGTTTCAACTTAATAGCACATAAAAACAACAATGTTCTTATGAAGAATGGCTTAAACATCTTAACTGTGGTTTATAAATTAGTATTTTATAGAGGGAAGTAAGTCAAGAAGAACAACAAAAGCCTTTTTAAATGTAGTTCTGCTTTTATCCCAGATTTGGCTTTTCCCACACCATACACTCAAACCCACTCTCAAGTCAACTCCAACATATGACAACTCTCCTCTGCCCAGTTTCCAAGGTGCTCATCCTGTTTACACAAAGTGGCTGGTGGATTAAAAGTGCTCTTTTGTTTAGCAGTCCAGCATACAATGAACTCTGCTACCAGGACTCCTCTTCCAATTAGTGTCTCATTTTCCTCATTAAAAGCTAAAGCACAAAAAAAAAATAAGAAAAAAGAAAAAACAAACTAAAGCTCAATTTCCTAATTTGAGTATAATGCTAAGATAGTAATCTTAAAACCAGATACGGCTTCTAAAAGAACTGTCTGCAAGCTCTTTTTCAACCTCTCCTTATCTCAAAAAAGGGTAAGGGTGTGTGTATATGTGTGAAAGGATAGCATGAAAATTCTGTCTTTAGAATTTTAGAAAACAAAAATGTCTCTTTAGACAGTACAGGGAGTACTTTTATTGTGTTGATTTAGATGGTGTTACCTATGGATATAAGAAGTGCTGCTACAAAGTTTCCTTATAAAGAGCTCTCTTAAATGACCAATTAAAAAACACTGTTTATCTACTGAAGCTGGGATCTCCAGAGAAGCATCCCTTTCCTTCACCTTCTGAGTGTCTTGAGCATACAAAGTCCAGCAACGCACCCACTCAGAGTGTAGCAAGGACCTCACAAGCAGGCAAGAAACAAAACAGGCTTTGTTTCTTGAGGAAGAGGGTAGAGCAGCTATAAGAAAAAATAAGAGTATTACCAACTTCTTCACCTCTGTGAGTAAGCACTGAATTTCCAATTTTAATACATCTTTAAAAGGCAAATTATAATTTGCTATGTTTTAAAAATCAAAGTCTGCTGTGTGGACTACTTCTTCTCAAAGGGCATCATTACCACAAGCCCTTCTCAAAGTTTCATTCTAAATCTCAAGTAACTTTTAGGTTTATATAATTTGTAACCATAGAATATTACAGAATATTAAAGATCTGTTATTGAACCACAAACTTGGGGATAATGAATTCAATTGTAACTTTATTAAGTATAAATTTAAAACATTAATTTATATCAACTTTCATACAAGAAGTGTTTTTCTTTGATAACATTTTAGGTCTGAGACGGTGTATGTTTACGTACTAGTATAGTTATGACCTTAATTTATTGACATAGTATTTATACACAAATTTAAGTTTCATCTACAAGTATCAAAAGCAAAACTCCTTGCTATCAAGTCAGAATTAACTTATAGCTGACCCTCCAGTGGTTTTCTGGAGGCTGCATATTACACAGGGGGCAGCTGCTCATCTTTCTTTTAGGAAGAAGCTGGTGGACTTGAACTGCTATCAATCACCTCTGAGTCAGCAATGCAATTCTCCACAGACTACATCACCAGATCTTGTACCCACATCTACAAGCATACTCAGGATTATGCAACAGAGTGTGTACACACACATGATCTGTGAACAGAAAAGCAACAAACACATTCTTTCATTACTAGCTCTGCTAAGGATTTACTACACAATTTGTTACTGCTGTAATGTAGTAAAAAGTTGATTTCAAACCCTGACAATGCTGTGTATGAGAAAGGAAATGCACCAGACAGGATTAAAGAGCAAAGATGTCACTTTGAGGACTAAGATGTGCCTACTACAAGACATAATATTTTCAATCACCTAATATGCATATCAGAGTTGGCTGAGAAGAATTTATGTTGGTGATGATTATCTAATAAAACATGGGCTGTTAAAAGAACAAACAAATCTGCCTTGGAAGTGTACCAAGAACACTCCACAGATGCAAGGATAGTGAGGCTTCATTTCACATACTTTGGGCATTTACAAACAACAGTCATTCCTTGGAGGGTCTCATGCTTGGTAGTGGGGCAGTGAAAAGGACTGTGACTCTCAAAAAGGAGCACTGACTGAATGACTACAACAATACTCTCCAGTGATTGTGAGGCTGCTGTATGCCTGGGCAGTGCTACTTTCTATTGCAAATGGGATCCCTATGAGGTGAAAAGTCAGCATAGAGACCCTCCACAAGATGGGGTGGCCCAATGACTAACAATGGGTTCAAGTGTACCAGAGATGGTGAGGAATGCACAGGACAGGGCAGGTTTCAGATTTATTGTTCATAGGGTTGCGCTGAGTTACACTAGACTCAATGGCAAATAAAAATAACATGAGTTGGCAACAACTCAAAAGCACCTAATAACAACCTTCACAGGAGTAGACGACCAGTTGCTTCTTCTGAGGTACTGATTCCTGGGTGAGTTTCAAGAACCACCTTCTGGTTAACAAACACTTGGCAAATGAATCACAAGGTATACTATACAACTTAAGGAACTTACTCTACAAAAATGTTGCTCCTTATATACCAACTGGCATAGCTCAATTGTAAACTTACATACCACATAATGTTTCAGTGACAACTGTTCAATTCACACTCAAAAAGCTGCATCTCTTATCACTATCACTCAACTCTACTGAGTTGAAACCAGTTCATAGCTGTTTTCAGAGGCTATAAACCATATGGGAGGAGACTGACAGCATTTCTCCTGTGGAGATCCTAGTGGATTCACACCACGAATAGGGTGTAACTTTTGAATTAGTAGGACAGGTCCTTACAAACTACACCACCAGAGCTCCCTTTTTTCTTAACTAAACTCACTGGACTGACTCATAAGTTACACTTGACTGGGGACTGTAAACTGCAGCAAAGGAGAAGACTGATCTTTCTCATTCGAGGACCTGGCTAGATTAAATTCACGAGCACTGGAGTTGGCAGTGCAACTCTTTAGCCACTAGGCCACCATAACTCAGTAGGAGCAAAAGGTCAGGATCACACCTAACAGCAGAATTTGTCTTTTTAGTATCAACGGCAAAGGATGTTTCCCCAAAATTAGTTAAGTTATAAATTTAAATAACAATGCTATGCTCAGCTGATGCCACACATATGCCAGGGCACGATGCATCAGGGGTCGAGCAGGAAACTGCAATCTAAGTGTAAGCCCTGAACTCCAGTCCCATTGCTGCTGAACCATGCCCAGAATGCCACTGCTGCCACACATGCTGGAACTCAAGCGAGGTACTCTGTGGGGGATCACTGAAGTTTGGCTGGAACACGTGGGACCACTTAAGCTCAATCAGAAGGGAGTGACAAAGCTGGAGCTTGACCTTGAAGGGAAACCAAGGCTTCCTGGTTTTCCAATCAGGTCTCCTCGCTCCACCTTGTGTCTCTTCACGTCCAGTCCATCAACTGCCTTTAGCCCAAAGCACGATGGGCTAGCCTACCTGCAGAAGTTGTCTGACAGAGGAGGCTGCTTCCACAGGCCTTTACTCTATCTAGCAAACTGAGAGAAACCCATGTAGGGTAGCTGCCTCCACCCTC